AGAAATGATGGCAATTCCTGTCTTCCCAAGACCCCTTTGCCAGGAATCAGGTGGCAACAAGCCTCAGCCTTGACCCCCAGCTCGGGGCGCTCCCCTCACCAGGTGCCTACTGGGGATGCCTTGAGGTCTGGGGCTGGGCTGACGATGAGATGAGTGTAGGTCTAGGACCCCCGCTGGTCCTGAGGTCAAGGATTAAAAAAGGTCCAGAGATAACCGGGTGCCTGTGTCCTCCAGGGACGCCCTCTGTGCTGGGTACCACATGAGCTTTCCCTGAATCCCCCAGTAGCCCGGCTGCACAGGTGTTATCTCTTTTTCCAGGCCAAGACACTAAGGCTCAGAGTTAAGTGACCACGCAAGGTTATACGATCAGTGAGAGGTTGTCTGAGCCCAGAGCCTTGCTCATTCTACCACTGAGTTGAGCAGGAGGGGGACTGAATGGGGTCTCGGGTCTTAGATTGGGACTCTGGGTTCTGAGGTGCTCAGGCGTCTTGCCCTGCTGGTTACCCAGTTCCAGCGTATGGCTGGTTCGGAGAAGGCTGAACAGCCAGAAAAGCCCCTTTCTGCAGAGCCTGCCCCAGAGTAGTGGCCTCTGTCAGGTAGGACATGCCAGGGAGGGGTGTGAATGCCCTGTCTGACGTCTGAGTGGCAGCACTGATTTCTCATGGCTCCACGTGGCTGGAGCACTTCTGAGGCCATCAGCTGGATTTGGGATCAGAAGCCAATCGACTTGGACAGGTTTCAGGAAGGATCCTGAGGTTCTGCCCACTGGAGCTGGGCCACCTGTAGGCAGGTCAGGGAGTAGTCAGTGTGCGGGCCAGCTCTGAGAGGGCCCCTGTGTGGAAAGAGTTGACCCAAAGGCCACAGGTGCTGGCACCTTGGGGGGCAACTGTCACATGCAGGACCAGAACAACAGCTCAGCAGAAGAAATAAAAACGCAGTTATTTTCATTAAGGAATTTATTTCTCTTAAAAAAACAACAACAGTGGTTCGATCTAGATACAGCAGCACTGTGACGGATTAGACAGGACACACAGAGAATCAGAGCAGCAGGAGAACAGAAGCTGTTATCCTCAGACGTGACCTCCCAGATGGGACTATTTCTATTCACCAACGTTAAAATTTCCCTGAAAAAAAAAAATAGAAACCTTTGGATACTAGAAGGATTATTATTTTAACACTACCAACAGCCACTAAGCTCTTCTAAATTGAGAACGATTGCTTTTGACCTATTACAAAAAATGACTTATTGATGGATCGGGAAAAACATCTAGATTCTTCTTCGGGGGAGTGTCTTTCCCTCCCAGGGAGAGCTAGCTTTTCACGTTTTAACCACTGCCTGCAGCACAAGCCTTTAAAGCCAGACCAGTCGAGACAGCCCGAGCCGGCGCAGGGTCTGAGCCGTGCGGCTAAGCTTCAAAAGCTGGGCTGGTTGGTTCCGAAAGCAGGGGCCTCAGAGACCACTGTCGTGTCCACTGTGATCGGAAAGAAGTGAGCTCTCCACTGCTCAGGACTCAGAGCTTTGTCGCTTCAAAATGCACAAAGATTTCACACTCACTCTTTGTCCAGAACAAAGGCTAAAAAGTTAGCAGGTCCTAGCTCAGAGTCGAATGGTTACGAGAACAGGTGACATCCGGAAGCGGTGGCCCTAGGAAGGGTACGAGTGCTCACGCGGATTCTCAAGCACATAGCAGCCCAAGAGGACAGCTGATGTCAGTCACCCCAGCTGGCATTTCTTCTTCATCTCAGTGGACTTCTGGGTGTCCACGAGGCCGCTGTTCCCTTTGGCGAGGCCTGGGACACCAGACTCAAGGAGGCCACGGAGCTTCCTCCGTACTGAGGTCTGGGTCAGCATCTCACAAGAGTCGGTGGGAAGAAACCGACGACTCGAGCCTTTTGGGGAAGGACTGCTGTGGGAGAATAAAGAGGAGCTCCACGGTGGGCCGGGCTCCTCGGAGAGGCATGGAGACCCCGGCTTCTCGGAGGGCAGGCCTCAGCATCATCAGGGCTTGCTACGCTCACGGGCAGGCGGCCACATCCGACTTGTGCCTTCAACGCCAAGGCAGCATCCACACACGTGTCCCCAGAACTCACCGCCATTTGTCCCAGCGGGCTGCTTGTCGAACGTGCATATAACCAGGCCGCATCCATAGAGCATGGCCTCCCTGCACCCACCCCCCAAGACCGCTCAGAGCACCTCAGGGAACAAGCTCCCCAGCTGCTGGAGGCTCAGCAACAGAGCTGCCATGCACGTGAGCAGCCCTCGCAGCTCATGGTTTAGGAAGTGAAGTTTCCAGCCTCAAGAGTCGAGAAGAAGTTGATGCGGGAGGTGGTGTCATCCTCAGTGAAGGTCGGGATGGGTTTTCGTGGTCCTGTGGGTGATGCTATGAGAACCCCTAAGGGGGCTTGATAGATACTTGTAGGTCACGGCGATCATGGCAGAGACCACCCCCGTCCCACTGGGGACCGCGGCTTATCTCCTGGGAAGTGGAAGCAGAGACGCTTCTGCGACACCCGGCGTCTCACCTCAAAGGCACGAAGTCAGCGAACATCCGGTGAGAAAAATGTCACGCTTGGAGAAAGAAAGGTTCTCTGTGATGAGCTCAAATGCAGTAAAAAAAAAAAAGATTTAAATCCACTCACTGTCCAAAGAGGCCTCATCCTCGACAGGTGGATGAACGGGGAGGTGGTGGGGTGTTTAATTTAAGAATACCTTTTTAAAATGCAGCTGTAGGAAACGAGTTGGAGTTGAAGCAAGATGGGAGTGGAGGGAAGGGTCAGGGACGGGATCTATGGTGACACGGGGCTCGGTGGGAGGAGGGCTGATTTCCAGGTACTGTTCTGAATGAAGACCTCCCTTCTCTCGTGCAAAGCAATGGGCCAAAAGGAAGAGGACTGGAAAGGCCAATGACTGACCCCGTGTCCGATGGGCACTCGCTGGGGACAGGTGACTGGGAAGGAAGACTCTGGTTATTTAAAGTCACGTGAGGACCTGTGCTTTAGCATCGTCTGAGCTCTCGTGACGTAGAGACACATTAAGCAGATGTATGTTTTCTTTCTTGCTCCTTGAGGGTTTTCTAGTGCAAACGGACAGAGTGTTGTTGGCTTTGAGGCATTAAAAGAGACCGGCTTCTCAATGGCACTGCGTCTGGTAAGGGTGGGGTTGCTGCAAATTAGGTAAAAAAAATGAAACTTCTGGGCAGTCATGGCTAGGGCTGGTGACTGTCCCAGGAAGATGACTGTCTTTCTTGTCATTAAGAAAGGAGGGTCAGCGAGAGCTTGGGGATCTTAAAATACTGGTTGAAGAGCTTTCCACTTGGTGGCAAAATCTGAATACAGGTGTTTATCTTGTATTCAGCCCAGAAGAGTAACAGAAGCAGCCTTGAGAGACAGAGCTGGTCCTGAAGACAGTGCTGCCCGTTAAGGGGGTGTGAGGAAAGCCCAGCTGTTTTTTCTCTCCCCTTTGTTTGTAAAATGACCTCAAAATGATCAGTCCCAAAGTCAGGCCCCTTTCCAGAAGAAACTCCAGGGCCACTGGTAAAGTTTAGGAAAAGCGCATGGATATTGGGACAGGCTCGCTACTCTCTCCTCCGTAAAAGCACATGCTCCACATCTGCCTGGGTCACCTAGAGAAATAATTTGGGGACGATCGCATCTGCATTCCCGCTGATGGCCTAAGGTGCATCAGAACGATCTGGAGAGCTTTTAAGAGATGCAGAGTCCTAAGTTTGGGGTGGAGTCTGCCTTTTGTAGGAGATGCAGGCAGTGCAGGGTGCACCCCAGGAGAAGCCTGGCAGCTACCTGGTGGCTGAGACTGGGTGTGGCTGAGCCTGACTAGTGTCCAGGGACTCGCCAGGAGCGGGAGCAGGGAGGTCAACCGCTCACCCTGTCCCAGAGGGCGACTTTGCTCCTGTCACCTCTTATGGGCAGCAAGGGAGGCCAGTGGCTTCCTGGGACTGGATGGCCATGCTCTAAGAGCCCAGGGCTTGTCCTCAGAGGCCCTGGTCTAGCAAAGCCACCAAGTGCTCCTGGGGCTACATGTGCCCGAAACTTTGAGATCCTGATTAGAGCTGGCCTCTGTGCCACCCCTTCTGGGAGGTGACAGTGAGCTTGTCTTGGGCTTCTTTGGTGGCCCAGCCTCTTCTCAGGCATTCTGTTTGCTTGGAGAGCCAACTCCATCCTTGCTACCTGGGCCAATGAGTTTGTTGGGCCCCACGAAGCTCCTGGAACCCTGGGACCCCAAAAACATGTACAGAATGTGCCTGGAGTTCCTGGCCAAGCCCCCTCCCCTCTACAGAATCGATCAAGATGATCCACTGACCCCACTCCCTGGTGCTCCCACGGGCCCTAAAGTTTTGGGACACTGAAGGCTCCATGACTACTTAGCATTGCTGTGCTTCTCTTGAAAATAGATAAAACAAAAATCCCCATCACAAGCCTCTTGAAAACATACTGACGTTAGCAGTCAGGACCTGCTTAGAAAGAAAGGCCCAGTGAGCACTGTGGGGAGGACACCACATACTGGGCACCTCCCCACGGAAGAGGAGGCCGAGAGGCCAGAGCAACAGGGCATCGTGGCCTCTCAAGGAAAGTGCACGTCCCAACGGGGCTGGCCCCAGGCAACTCCGCGAGCCCCTGCGGGGGACGTTCGGGCCGGGGGTGAAGTCCCAGGGCTGTCTTTGAGCATTGAATTCCAATTCTTACAAGCCAGCAGAAGGGTGATAACCAATGCGAGGGAAAGGTTATAGAGATGGTACAGCCAATCCTTTAAAGGCAAAACGTGAACCATTTTCTACATTTAATAAAAACGTTTTCTCATTTGAGGCTCTGGAAGTCTTCAGTCACATTTTTCTTTTTTTTTTTTTTTTTTTTATTTTAACTGCCTAATAGTCTAAAATGTCTGAAAACACATGGCTTAACAGTGGCTGCACGTAAAATATACACCCTCAAAGTCTGACTGTCATTTAAATACAAATATACAAAATGTAAACTGAGACAATAGAGAAATTTACAAAACTTTTCTTTAAAAATAATAAAGACAAAATTCAGTTCTAGTTATGACGCTATTAAAATTCGTGCAAGTCGTCGTATCCGATTGGATTTCTATTGCAATGTCCGACAGAGACAGATCCAGTCCACCCCGGCTTGAGGGCCACCTCTGCCAACAGACCTGAGTGGAAATCTCTTTGAGAAACCTGGGGGGCTCCTCGCTGAGGGGCGACAGCCTCCTTTCCCGGCTTTCGGACGGCTCCCCCGTCCTCCCAGCCAGAGCGGAAGCTCCACCGGTCACAAGTTCCGCTTCTTGGAAGAAGGGTCTAGGCTGGTCCCACCGTGGGCTCCAAGGCCAAGCTGCAGCTAGCTGCTTCCGGTGGAGTTGGAATTGACATGGTTTGAATTGACGTGGTGGTTAAAACTGGCCTTGGAATTGGGCGAACTCTTGGAATTGTTCTGATGCTGGGAGACAGACAGAAAAAGCAAGTCAGCCGATGCGGAGCCAGGCTCCGCGGCCCCCACGGCACAGGGGCCTCCGGGCCTGGACGGGGCTGTGGCTCAGGGGCTGCTGACTAGCGGTGCCTCTGCTCTTTTCGGCCTTAGTGGCCTCTGCCTCCTCCCCCTGCGGGCCCAGACCCGGCCGGCCGTGCTTCTCCGTCCAGGGCAACTTTACCCCCAGGGGACGTTGTCTGGAGACATTTTACTATGGGAGTGGGGTAGGGAGTGGGGTGCTACTGGCGTCTGGTGGGTGGAGGCCAGAGAGGCTGCTGATGCCCTTCGGTACGCAAGACAGCCCCCGCGACGAAGAGCCCCAAGTGTCAATAGTGTCGGGTGGAGAAACCCGAAGGAAAGGTAAACTGCGGGCTGGCCCTGCCCCTGCTGCCCTGGGAATCCCATCAGCCACTGGGTTTGGGGGCTTCAGACAGGCTGCCCGTCCCTTCCAGGCTGCTGCCCTCCCCGCTCCCCGTTTCCCACACGCAGGCGGGACTCTACAGCTCTTATCTCAACTGCATGGGGGTGCCTGGGCCTGGGGTCCAGGGCGGGTGGCGGGGGTGTTCTCTCACCTGACGCTGGAAGATTCTCTGGAACAACCCTTTCTTCGGCGGTTCCGGAGGGTGACTTCTGTTCAGGTCTGGCGGGAGGGTACCGTTAGGTCCAAACACGTTCAGCTCTTTAAAGCATTCTGTTTCTATCATCTGGAGAAGGCGCAGAAACATGGGTGGTGTGAGGGGCTGCGGCCACCACCTTGAGTGAAGGGAATGCCAGCGCCGAGCCTTGGGCTGTCACCGACCGGAGCCCAGTCCCACCGGGTCCTCCCTCGGCCCCTGCCTCTCCCCGGTGGCCCTGCATGCTGTCCACCACCAAAGCCACACCCCATCTGCTCCTTCACCCCGTCAGGGCCCAGGTTACCCCACATGCTCTGGGTCCTCCACCTTTTTCAGGACACCAGCCCCCTTCCTTCCCCTCCCTCGTCATTTCTAACTCATTCGACCCGGTTCTGAGTCCCCCAACCCAATCCCATCTGTGCCTCTGGCCACTGTTCCTTTGTCTCTACTTTCCCAGCCAAACTTCTCGAGGGTCATCCAGACCAGCTGTGTCTGCCCCGGCTCCTCTGCCGACCCCATGGCACACACAGCCCTGTCCAGGCCGTGAGGACGCCTCGCCCAGCAGCCCCGGGCTCCGTCCTCACCGGCCCCACCCCCGGGCAAGGCCGGCGCCCCGCCGCTCACCTCGTTCTGCCACGGGATGGGCACGGAGCCCGTGGAGAACTTGGAGTAGAAGTCGTCGTCCGTGTGGTCCAGGTTGACGCCCTTCACGGTGGAGAACTGCTCGATGTCCAGCACGTCCTTACAGTACACGGCCCGGGGCTGAGGGGGCAGAGCGCTGGGTCGCAGGGCGCCCGCCCACAGGCCGCCGTCCCCCAGCCAGGCCTGCGGCTCCCAGTGATGGGACAGAGGGCCACGTGCCAAGGCCAGCCCCCACCCCAGACACCTGTGCGGCCTCAGATCTGCTGAGAGGACCCCAACTGGGGTGGAACGTGAGCTCAGGGTGTCCAGGGCCCCTTCCTGCCATCGCGCCCTCCCACACGCCACGTTCTCTCTAGGCTGGGCCTGGGCCTGGGGGAACAGGAGCCCCCCTGTATAAGGGAACGAGTGCTGGTTCCCAGGGCCCGGCGAGGGCACGCCGGAGACGCTGCTTCTCTGGGGACATGCCACCTCGGGGGATGTCCTGGGAGCACCCTGCTGGCCCCTTCTTCCAGTACAGGGAGGTGAGGGGGTCAGCACCCAGGCCCTGCACCCAGACAGGCCCGGGGTGGGGTCCCAGCTGCGGTGCTCAGGAACTTTGAGAAAGTCCCATAGCCCTGTAGGCCGGTTTCCTCACCTGCAGAATGGGATACAGAAGCACCTGTGCCACCTGGGGCCATTGTAGGTGCTGCGGCCGAGCCCGGTGCCACACTGAGAGCCACTGCCGTTAGAGCAGCAAACGCGTTTTATCTCGCTCGCTCACCAGACGTGCACTGGGGGCCACTCTGTGCCAGGACCGAGACGAACCTGGCTGGGCCTTGCCCTCCGGGAGTCTGAAGTAGGTGGGAAAGGTATCCCGGGGGCTCTGGGAGTCTGGGGGTACGGGGATGAGAACTTCATAGAGGAGATGGCTCCGGGACGGGTGCAGAGGGACCCCCAGATCTAGCAACATGTCTGTTACCGGAGGGCAGAGGCCCCTCCCGCCATGGGTCTCCTCAGCCCCTGGCCTGGGGCCCAGCACGGACATTCGGCTAAGGTGAGGTCGTGAACCAGTGCGCAGGCTCAGTCCGGGCTGGGGGAGGCTACTCACATCTGGAATGAAGGGAGGGTCCAACATCCCGGCTTCTAGGCGCTTGAAATTCATGCTCCTGAAGAAGGGGTGTCTCTTGACCTCAGCGGCTCCCTCGTCCTGGCAGCCCAGCCTCTGCTTTGCATCTTTGGTGAGCAGCTGAGAAGAGACAGCACCATGTGGCCATGCCCGCGGGGCCTCTCCCCTCCTGGAGGGCAGAGGGGCTTTGGGGCTTCGGAGCACCCGTGATCGCCTCCCTTTCACGGAAGTGTCCCTCAGCCTCCCAGATGTCCACCCTCCTGCTGTCTCCAGCCCACGCCACCCAGGCACCCGATGGACGCTGCCTGGCCCTGTCCAGGCCTCGTTTCATGGTCACTTGCTGAGTCACAGAGAGCTTTGTGGTCCCACATTCGTGGCGTGCCTAGATGCTTGGAACCTTCAGGACAGCAGGCGTCCTGTCTGTGTTCCCTGACTGCATGCCCAGTGCTGGGCACCCACTGATGTTTGTTGAATTGGTGGCACCTCCTCTAATACAGGTAAGCTACAAAGGGCAAGGACTGTATCTGTAGGTCTCTCATTCATTCACTCAACTCACAAGTACATTGTGGACTTGAACTTACTAGGTGCCTACCACTGCGGAGGTGGGGGGAGGGAGAGATGGGACATCAAGGGTCTGGCCTCAGTAAAATCCTGTTTAGAGGACCCATCAAGGCAATATAAATGTAACACCATGAGGTCAGAAGAACACAAGCTGGCTGCCAGCTGGGGGTCAGCAGGCTTCCTGAAGAAGGAGCATTAGAGACAAATAGGCTGTCAACAGGTGGAGAGGACACCAGGTGGAGGGACCCGCACCGGCAAAAGCAGAGTTATGGGGACATGGGGCACACTTGGGGACACCCATCTCTGAGTGTGAGTGAAGGATGGGGCTGTGGGGCCCGTCAGTGGGACAGTCACTGGTCAGAAGAGGTGACGGAGGGTCCTGAAGGCCAGGTCCGGGGGTGGGATTTTAATCTGGAGGTAGCAGGGAGTCAGGCAGGTTGGGGTGGGGGGGCATCCTCATCAGAACCAAGAAGCAGGAGGGTGATCAGGGGAGGACGAGGCTGCGGGGCAGACAGCCAGGCCAGACGGGAGGAGGTGGGAGGCCTGGGCCTCGGCTGATGATGAGAGAGGGACACTGGATGACGACCGCAGGCCGAGGCCCCTCCCCGCACGCCCCAGTGTCCCTGCCTCGTGCTCCCCCCTTCTTGCCTCGATGAGCACTGCACCTGGTGCGCAGCTGGAAGCTACCGTTCGCTTCGACAGTAAAATCAAGGTGGAAGGTCCACACCTCGGAGGGAGTCCAGCCCTTCCTCTCGTCAACACCCTGGAGCCCTTTGCATCCAGTCCCTCCGTACACACGTCGGGCTGGCCTGCGTGGGCTGGGGGTACAGCAGGGAGCCAGCAGGCCGCTGGGCCTCCTGGGACTCGTGGTCTTAAGGGGGAGGCTCTCAGGACGGCCCCTCCCCTGAACAAAGGACTCAGTGGTGGCAGCGGGGCAAACACCTGGTCACAGCCTTGAAAGGACTAAGCGTGAGTCTGACCTCCAGACCAGACAGGCTGTGGTTAAGGGCACAAGGGAAGCCCAAGACCAGAATCCCAAGTCCCAGCGTCATTTTTAAGAAAGTGGAGGAAGGCCCGAGGCCCCCAAAGGTTTTGCAGCTGAGAAAGACGAGGGGAGGCTGGTTCGACACTTGGGACCCACAGGCCCAGGTCCACCTGGAGCCCCAAGCTCAGCTGCCACTTTCCCCTCAGTGGCCACCAGGGGGCAGCAGAGGGACAGCAGCACCCCTGGTTCTGGCGCCCCAAAGCCGGGTGCCAAAGCAGACGACTGTGGCCAGGAAGGAAGTCCTCTGTGCCTCTGTCCCATGTCCCTGTTGGGGGCTCTCAAGATCTGCTTCTCTGAACCTCTGAGCCTGACCTAGGACATTTGACGATGCTCTGACCTCCCTCTTCTCTCTCTCACCCAGTCTGGTCCCACCGGATATACGCCTCGTCCTAGCATAACTAGGTATTGTTGACATACCCATTCCATTTGCCAGCATCCCCAGGGCCCCACCTTTCCATCTACCTGCCTTTTTCTGCTTGGTCCCACCGGATATACGCCTCGTCCTGGCATAACTAGGTATTGTTGACACACCCCATTCCATTTTCAAGCATCCCTAGGGCCCCACCTTTCCATCTACCTGCCTTTTTCTGCCTTGCTCTTCCTATATACCCCAACCCAGCCGTGGCGGCTGTGACTACTGTTCTCTTGGAGGCCCCGGGCATGCAGGCTAGTACCCAGCCACAGGCTGGCCCATAGGCCTCCTGGTTTGGGTGTGAGTTTGCACGTGGACATGCCAGCCCTCCTTCAGTGTCTCTCATGCACGCGAATGACAGAATCGCGGGTCCCCTTTTTTGGCAGTGGTCAGATGGCATGTCTAGCCCCCGTCCTTCCCAGGGCTGTGACGTCAGACTAGAGCTGGTGAGAGGAAGTGGCCGAGCAGCAGACGGAGGGATCTGGGAGACGGGCAGCTGCACAGATGGTTCCTGGGCCGCAGCAGCGCAGCCTTGGGTTTTCCAGCAGCGGACGCTTCGCTCCTTTTCATCGGCCCCCAGGCCCGCTGCTCTCTACACTGCGGCTTAGCCGCTCACGCGCACGGTTCAGAGCCGGGAGGCCCAGCCCCGCTGTGTGCTGCTGCAGGTGCGGAAGTCTGTGAGGTCGCAGGTGTGCAGAACTGACACTCGGGCCCTCCTGTCCCCGTGTGGCCGGCATTAGAGGGTAGCTGGCTGTGGTGCAGGTGCCAGCAAAGCTGTGTCAGGCATCAGAGGGAGGAGGGTCCCAAGGGGCATAACAGAACTTGGGAGCCTAAGAGCCAGGCAGGAGCAGGCAAACCCCCTAGCTAGGGGTGGCCCACCTGGGTTGAAGGGAAGGGCCGGGATCCAGGTGGACTCTCTCCCAGCTCCACTTTTGGTGGCTCTCGTCACCCCGTCCTCTGTCTGGCTTCCCAGCCCCGATCTGGTGTGGCTTGTCTGTCACACCTGTCTGTCACACCTGACCTGCCTGGACGGGTCAAATCTTACAACCCACAGATGCTGCCATGCGGGTGTGGCCAGCATTCCACTTAGTGGAGGGAAAACTAGGTTATAAGATGTTCGAAGACGGGAAATATCATCACCCACGACTTGTAGCTCCTGGCCTTAAGCCAGCACGCAGAGATCCGGAGCTGGAGGGAGCAGGTGGCCCAAGATCCTCTTGTATTTTGGGAATCGGCTGAGATCAATGTCTTTCTCTCCTATGCTAAGTTCCCCGCAAAGCTGGGCGTGAGGGTGTCTTACACTGTTCGCCTCGACCCTTCCCCTCACCATGCAGCCGTCCTGCCCCCACCCGAGCTTTCGGGCGGAAGCCTTTGCCGACCACCCTGGTCCACAGCAAGGGGCGCCAGCTCCTCTGGCTTGGCTTCACCGCCCACACCCTAGTGTGCCCTGACCCGCCCTCCTCAGCCAGGTGGCTGTTCTCCGCCGGGAGGGGGAGGGGGGACACCTCCGGACACCTGGCCCGAGGGTGGCGCTGGCTCCCGGGAGCTCACCATCTTGCAGATGGACGTGGCCTCCTCGGAGAACTTGTGGGAGTACACCTCCTCGGTCTCCAGGACCCGGCGGTCCACCTCCTCCCGTTTCACCTTCTCTTTGCGGCCTCGGAACGGCGACTGGCCCTCGACCATCTCGTAGAGGAGGCAGCCCAGACCCCAGTAGTCAGGGCTCAGGCCATACCTCTGGTTGTTCAGGACCTCCGGGGCTGGGGGCAGAGGAGGGGAGTGAGGAGAGGTGAGAGACAGCTGGTGGCCTGGCTGTGACTCACGCCAGCCAGGCCTTAGATGTCCTACCCCAGGACGGATAATGTTGTTCGCAGAAGGCCTTGAGCTTCATGGCTGGGACAGCTTCTCCCTACTGACTCCTACTCACTAACTGCTATAAATACCACCTCCTCCAAGAAGCCTACCCTGACTGCTCTCCTCTGTGCTCCCGAAAGACTCTGGCTGTGGCTTCAAAAGCCTGACCACGGTGGATGGAAACAGCTTGTTCCCTTGATGTCTCCCCTTAGAATGTGAGCTGCCTTATTCACTGTCACGTCCTAGTAATAGGTATGACGGCTGGCACGGTGGGTGTGGAATACATATTTGTATCAATAAATGAAGGTATGTTCACGATTTAAACATGATTTTAAATTTATCTGGAATTCAAACAGCCTCTCTCTATGGCTTCCCTACTACTGTGATTAAATGGCTTATAGGTTCACCACAGAAGTACAAAAAAGAGAGCTTTATGTCATCGGGCAAGCCACACACATCCAGAGGCAAATGCATCCACACGTGTGCGGGTATGCACACAACAGAGGCCGTACAGACAGACACATGCCACTCTGCAAGACGAGACAGACACGGATGCACTGGCAGACACGTACAAAGGTGCACAGATACCTACCAATCATCCATCTCGCCGTCACCTATTATCTACCTATTATCTCTATCTATCTATCTATCATCTGTCATCCATCCATCCAACTATCCATTCATCTATGTACCTGTTAATCTGTTTATCCACCATTCGTTTATCAAACACCTATCTATCTATCCATCCATCCATCTGCAATTGTACGGGTCTACACACAGTCACATACACACAGGAACATACCCCACAAGCTCCCAAATGTCATGTATTCTAAAAGGACCCTCTGTCACCAGGACGTCATACAGAATCATGTCCATGTGCCTTGGCATGAGCTTGGCAGAAGACGACATCCCTGGCCCCCGGAGCTTTAGCCCAGGGGCCGCCTCTAACTGGAAGAGGAATTCCGGGCGACAGGATGTAGCTCCAGGTCCCTTCCCTGCGGCCCCCAGGACGAGGATCTCAGAGCAGCCTCAAGGGAGGCAGGGAGCTGGTCTAAGAGGCTGGTCTCTTCTTAGAATCGCACTTGGTGACAGAAAGCGGTGCGTTCCTCTCCTTTCTGAGCCTACCCCAGAGGCCTCCCGTCTCCCAGGGGTCTCACTAAAAGGCTGTCCGCCTGCCACCAGATCCCTACGGCAATCTGGCCTCGTCCTGAGCAGCACTGGACACCAGCCCTGGCCACTGGTGTCCAGGGGTGGGGGTTGCAGAGAGCTCGATTTAGTCGTCGCACCCTGGGGCCCCTGTGCTCCCCCACTCTGGCTAAGACCTCCGGCCTTCCACTGCGACTCTGCTTCAGAGCAGGGACTCAAGGGGCGGGCGCGGGGCGAGGTGGCGCCCACACTCACCCATGTAGCCGACGGTGCCCACCCGGCCGCGGATCAGCTCTCCCTCGGGGATCTTCACGGCCAGGCCCAAGTCTGAGATCCTAATGTGACCTGTGTGGGAAGAATGGGGTCTGTAGGTGGCACATCTGGCCCACACTGGGCAGAGCACAGGTGTGCTGCGTGCCCCTGTGCAAGGCACACGGACTCTGTTTTCATCTGTCCCATGAAGAGAAGGACCCCAAGCTGCCACCTCAGGGTGACTACAGACCCTTGGGAGGGCCCAGGATGTGGGTAAGTCATTACCTTTTAGGAGAAGAACATAAAGACCCAAAAGGACGCCTGGATTTGGCTGGACGTTGGCCGACCTGCCTCATAAAATGCTCTAATGGGCTTCTTGGAAGGCGGAGGTCACAAAGTTTAAAATGCCTTGGCCTGTTTCTGGGATTGCTTCATGGAAAAAAATGTGAGATTCTCCTGACATTTTGCAACAATTTGCTTAAGAGGAAAAGTTATAAAGCAATTTGGGAAGCGACGCCCCGTCCTGCCTCAGTGGTCTTTGGAGGTGGTTTTCTCCCTTTGGAGAAACAAGCCAGAAACGGTTCTGGGCCCCCGGAGACTGGGGGGTGGATTAGAGCTCCCATCCAGGGCTGACCCCCAAAGGCAGAGACGCCACCGTGCCGAGAGCTCAGGGCTGGGGACACTGCCCCCTACTCCGCCTGTGGATGCCAGGGCCCCCACAGCCTGGACCTCAGCAAGGCCCAACGCTAGGGACCCTGGCCGGGTCAGAGCTGTAGGGGTCCCCCCAGCGTGGCGGCCCCTGACAGTGGCAGAAAGGGCAAAGGGAGCACGTGGATTCCAGCATTAAGATGGAAGGCGCGGCTCCGAGACCAGCAGGGAACAGGAACCCCAGTGGGAAGTGAGCCTTCTGCCTGGTCCCCCACACAGCAGCATCACCCGCTCACCGGCGACTGGCCCCGGCCCCCCTGCCTGGAGCTGCCGGGTGTCTGGGGCATGCTGGGGGATCTGGTCTCTGCTCTTGACTCCCATTGATATTGCTTGGTGACCTTGGCAGCTTGGCTCCTCTGAGCCTTCATCTTGTCATCTGTAAAGTGGGCACCGGGATGCAGCCCTGCCCCCTCTGGAGAGATGGGACGATCTTGTCAGATTAAAGGTGTGAAACCACTTCCTAGGCTCCAGCGGCTAGTCGTGAGGGGTTACTGTGGCTGTCCTCGTCATCCGCGCAGGCACACACATGAGCAATGACAATGGCGATGCACAGATACTGCCGGCTGACACCTTTACAGCTGGCCGCAGCTGACAAAACAACTTCCCCTCGAGCTGTCCTGTCGCGCCTCACCGCCACCCCATGAGGCAGGCGAGGCAGGACCCATTGTTTCCACTTCACAGACACGGAAGATGAGGCGCGGGGTGTGTGAGAGTCGGAGTTCTCTGAAATCCTGGACCCCTCCCTCAGTGCTCGCTCTCCCTCCCCTGAGCCACACTGCCTCCCCCGGGCTCCCAGGGCTGAGGAAACGGAGTGGGTCCTCCGCTCTGCTTGCCGCCGCCCTCCCGCGGGCCCAAGATGCGATGCCCGCCCCAGCCCCTTCCGAGCCGGCCCCGACGTACCGTGATCGTCTAACAGGATATTTTCGGGTTTCAAATCTCTGAAAGGGAAAGACCACAAGCATGTGAGTGTGTGTCTTCTGGGCAGCAAGGGCACACTGGCATCTATCTGGGTTGACCCCATGGGCCGGCCAGGCCCGTGTCCACTTCCCACCTCCTGGCTCAGGCTGTCTGGTCTCTCTCTGGGTCAGGACAATCTTGGGCTAATTTCTCTCCTTCCACTGTGTGCTATAGGCATCTTCCCGCCCCTCCGACAGTGACTAGCAAGGAGGTTAGGCAGAGTCTGGTCCTGGCTCCAGTCAACATAGGGCTGGCCCCCAGGGCTGAGAATACTTCTGGTTGGGGTGGTGACAGACCCCTTCTTGCTGGGAGAGCCTGAGGTCTCGGGATGCCCTGGGATGCCCTGAAGGCAGAGCAGGGACTGGGAATAAAGGATGAGAAATTACTGAGAACAAAGCCCAGCTGTAGAACTGGGACAGAGTAAGGAAGAGGATGGCCGCCCCCAGGAGAATGACCCCCTTGGGCCGTGCCTCCGGGAGACAGGCACACCCCCAGCTCCAGCCGAGCTCCCAGGAGAATGACCCCCAGGAGAATGACCCCCTTGGGCCGTGCCTCTGGGAGACAGCACAGCTAGAGGTGTGGCCACCTTCTCCTGTCCCTAACTGCTCTCTCCTCTTTGATGACACGATCTTGCTCATAAGAAAGAAGATCTCTCCATTCCCAGAAGGAGGAAGAGGCGGCCGCAGTGTCCACTTTTATTTGTAAACAGTCCCCCCAGGGGTAAAAGAACAGGCCTGCGGGACAGTGTGTGCGACTCACTCAAACCATCGGGTGGACAGCATCTGGATTGGGGCTGGTTCTCCACCGACTGGCTTTGTCTATTTAACTGATGGCAGCTTTCCCCTTGGGGAATGGTTAATGTGCCCAAATCCCGCGGGCAGCCACACAAATTGATAATTGGTGTTCCTATGTAGTTATTCATCACAAAATACTTTTTTTTTTGCTGTCGCTATTTAATTTGCATTCTTTTGATGTGTTAACAATTCCAGATAAGGGCAAGAGCCATCGTCTTAATAAACCAGCGGCCACAGGGTTGGAAAGACAGCAGGCCAGCGGGCACTGGCCAGAACCCTGGCCCATGAGGGGCCACAGCAAGTGTTCGCGCCAGACCTTGGACGGCCGCCTTGCTTCTTTTTTCTTTCTTTTTTTTTTTTTTTAAACCAAAAGGCAATCGAGTGGATCGCCCTTTTCCAACCCTTAGGAAAATTGTTCTGACTGTCTTCCCACTTGAATGAAAACAGAAGCATAAATGGGGCGATGGGGGGTGGGGAGGGCACGTCATCAAGACCTTCCTTCTTGTTTTCAAAACCTTCTTGGGCTCCCAAGATAATCTCCATGAAGAGCTCCATGGCAAAGGTCTTCACACTGGGCTGTGTGGGCCGGGCGCCTGTGGGGACAGTCCTGGGCGCCTGTGGGGACAGTCCTGGGCGCCTGTGGGGACAGTCCAGGGGGCTCCCACGTGCTGTGCCGCAGTTTCGAGAGCGAGCGTGGTGCGTTTCCCTAACGTCATGACGCCCCGCCCTGGCATCCCCTGGGATCTCCCCGCCCACCTGCCCTTTCTCAGCAGCACCCCTCCCAGCTGGCAGAAGAAAAGCGGGCCCTGCCCTGCTCCTGAACAGTAATCACTATAGCGCCCCACTTCGGGGCACGAGAAGTGGGGTCTGCTCGTAACAGTTACAATGGCAACTCAATGGAAGAAATTATTTTCACACTTCGAGCCTTATGGTCAAAGGAGATCTTTAAAAATCTTATATGTATCCATATATTTCAGAGCCGAATGCTGATCAATGAAAGGCTTTTAGGCAGAAAATACATTACATTGTAATGACATTCCGTGGGGGAGGGGAGGAGTGGTAGGAAAACGGTAGGAAATGCCTCACATTAAAGAGCTGCATGCAGTTTTTAGATGGATGATGGTGGAAATCACTTTGCTACAGTAATTACATTCCACTGGATACCTTTAAAAATGTGATGTAACTCTTCCATTTCAAAATGTCAACATTAGCCACTGTTTAAACATATGACAGACTATTTCAGATGTCGACAGTGTATGAGGACACAGACATTTTTCAATGGTCTTTGAGGAGAGTTGTGAGGAGAGTTCAAAGGCCGCTGCTCACAGAATCTAGACCCTGGCCCTCTAAGTCGGGCCATATGGGGTGGACGGAGGCCTACTTGTGGTGGCGAGCCTCCTATGGTCTTCCTGGGGCTGGGGCTGGGTCACGGCCACCAGGCTCCGCAAAGCTTCCCCAGGTGCTGGGCTGGAGGGGGCCAGTGGCCATGCTGTTTGGCCCCCTGAGCAGCCCACCTCACTTACTCAGTTCCAGGGCGGGAGTCTGGCAACGCCAGCACCTTCACCGGTAGGGGTGGTGACCAGGCCTCGGTCCCCAGGGTGGGGATGGATGAACGCCGATCCGGGGCGGGATGGGACCCCGCCTGCTCAGACTCGGGTGGGAGGACGGGGCGAGCCCGCTCACCTGTAGACCGTGTTCTCACGGTGCAGGTCTTCCAAGCCGCACAGGATCTCTGCCGCGTAGAACAAGGCTCGCTCCTCCTCGAAGCCGGGGTTCCCCATGTTGTAGATGTGGAACTTCAGGTCACCCCCGTTCATGATGGTCAGAACCAAGCACAACGCGTCCTTGGTCTCATAGGCGTAGGCCAGGTTGACCTGGGAGCACAAGACAGTACCGCGGTGAGGTTCAGGAGCTGTCCCCCACTTCCGCGCTTCTTCCTCAAGGCCCCTGAAGTTAGGGGAGGGCTGAGGGAGGGGAGCTGCAGCAGCTTCACGTCAGCCTCATAGTGCCCCACCTGCTGCCCCTCTCGGCTGATGAAGGGCTCACACCTTCCACTCTGGTGGTCCCAGGTGAGCAGGCAGAGGGAGGGGGATCCTGCCAGGAGCGCGTCTGTGCACTTACACCACAAACGCGTGTGCGAGCATCAGTTGGTCAAAATTGTGTGTTGCCTTGTTGGACAGTTAGGAAAAGCAGGGTCGGGATGCCCTTCCTTACTGCGGGGGCACAGGGACTGGGCCGGGGAGGTGGCCGGTGGGCTTCGTGAAGTGGAACGCAGCTGGGCGAAGACTGTCTCCTCTTGCATGCAGGACACGCTGGCCAGAGGGACCGTCAACAGAAAGGACCTAGTTCCTTGCTGGTGGAGACCAGCGCCTGAGGCACTGTGGACAGAGGCCACGGGGTGGCGGAAGAGGCGAAGTACAATGGGCAGTACTCGTCCCTCTCTGCTTAGGGAGCTGGGCAAATGGAATCTGGCCGCCTTGGACCAGGCCGGGGAGAGGCTGGGCCATACAACCTGGACACAAATGTCGGGAACACTAGGGCTACTTCTGAGGAAAGGGGACAGAGTGGCAGCTGAAGGTGAGACTGCTCTGGGGACAGTGCTCTGACACCAACCGATGCCACCGCCCCCCCTCCTGCACCTGCCCCGGTGATGGTCCAGGAAGGACTCTGGGAGGGGTGCTGTGGGAACTCTCCGCCAGGGGCGGAGGACGAGGCACAGCTGAGGAAGGTGCTCGCCTCTGAAGATGTGCCACCCGGTTTGGCAGGCCCATGGCCTCTTCCCCACCGCTGGCAGCTGCGGGCAGCCTGCGATGAGGCCCAGAGACGCAAACCTCCGTCCCTTTCGAGTGTCACCTTATAAAACCACCCCCTCGCTGGGGAATGATGAAAGCACCAGGCCGATGCCATCTCTTGCCCATCTCTTTAGTTGGGGTGACCTTCATGGATGGTCGTTTGGGAACAGCTACCAAACGGAAGAGGCACACACCCTCTGACACAGCAATTCCTCTAGCAGGA